CCAGGAAAAAATGGGTGGGAGACAGTACATGCCAGTCAATATAAAACATGAAGTTTTCAATGCATACATGGAACACAGTCTACCCTCTGAAGGCTTTGGTTTTTCACCTAGGCATTGCTGTAGTGCACCCTTCCACCTACACCGTTCTTTTGAGTATCTGTTTATTCAGGACCCCTTTTGCTTACCTTGCAATGCAGTAGAGGTATTCCTAAACACACCCTTTCTAAGTTCCATGCTGATGTATCAAAAGTGTCACTACTTTTATCTCTCACTTTCACCAATCAGATTCAACCCTGCTTTGTGTTGTTTATTTTGATTGGCCATATGACCAGCAGAGAAAAAGAAAGGAATGCAGCAAACACGTCTGCAAGAGTATTCACCAATTCACATGTGGGGAGCTCCCCGGAATCTGGCCTTTTCTCTGATACCTCTTCTTGTTACATTAAGATTTCACAGGTTAATTTCACGTGTTTCAAGACATTGCTCTTTAACCATTTCAAGTCCAGACACTTTAACCCCCTTACAGTCCATGTCAGCTTTCAGCGCTATTACAATCTGAGTGTCAATTACTCAGTCATGCAACACTGTACCCTTTTGAAAATATAGTTTATGTAAAAGCTAGTCTATAAACTATGGGATATATATTTGAAAATCAGTTGAGACCCTAAAATGCCGGATGCTGGTATGACATATGGCAGTGATCAGAACGCTGGTACGGTGATGATCAGGACAATGGTATGAGGAATGGCGGTGATGAGAACGCTGGAATGGTGATAATAAGGACACTTATATGGGGTATGGTGGTGATAAGGACGCTGGTATGGGGTATGGGGTGATAAGGATGCGGTGATAAGGGGTATGGCGGTGATAAGGATGCTGGTATGGGGTATGGCGGTGATAAGGATGCTGGTATGGGGTATGGCTGTGATCAGGACGTTCGTTTGAGGTATGGCAGTGATCAGGACGCTGGTATGGTGGTGATAAGGACACTAGTATGGGGTGTGGTGGTGATCAGGATGCTGGTATGGGGTATGATGGTGATCAGGATGCTGGTATAGGGTATGGCAGTGATCAGAATGATGGTATAAAGTATGGTGGTGATAAAGATGCTGATATGGGGTATGATGGTGATAAAGATGCTGATATGGGGTATGGTGGTGATCAGGACGCTGGTATTGCATATGGGGTGATCTGGATGCTGGTATGGGGCATGGAGGTGGTCTGGATGCTAGTATTGCATACGGGGTGATCAGGATACTGGTATGGGGTATGATGGTGATCAGGATGCTGGTATAAAGTATGGTGGTGATAAAGATGCTGATATGGGGTATGGTGGTGATAAAGACGCTGATATGGGGCATGGAGGTGATCTGGATGCTGGTTTTGCATATGGGGTGATCAGAATGCTGGTACAGTATGGGGCATGAGGATGATCTGGATGCTGGTATGTTGTATGGTGGTAGTCAGGGTGCTGGTAGGGTATGGTTGTGATCAAGGCATTGGATTGGGGTATGGCAGTGATCAGGATGCTGGTATGGGGGGGATCAGGACATTGGTATGGTGTAGGGGGTGTTTTTTGTGTGCACTTGGACAGGTGACAGGGCTGGCTGCATTATTTATTATGAATATAATGGGGCAGTGATCAGGGACACTGGGTTGGCTGGCACAACAATCTGTGAGTGTAAACGCAGCCTGACAGACTGCTGTACACTCACAGACTTCAGGAGATCGCTTCTCTCTGCCCTCACACTGAGGACAGAGAGAAGAAATTTTACTTTCCAGTGTCTTCTTTGTGATTGCTGTGATTGGACACAGCAATCACATGAGTTTTGTGATCCGCTGTGTCCGGGTGATATACTGATCGCTGGGCTCCTGTGTGTGCACTCTGCGAGCCACCAATGTGGGCTGATGTACATTTACAATAGCCCGCATCAGCAAAGCATCCCGTCCGTTGTCTCTAAACAATAGGTGGACGGGAAGAAGTTAAAAAAGAATTCCATGTAATGTATATTTTTACATAGTTACATTTTTCCAGCTTGGACCAAAATACCTACTTGTATACCATACCGGGCTGACACCCCTGAAAGCTGGAAATCACTGAAGTAGACACCACAACTCTAGTGATCTCTATTGCTTCTGGGTCCTGAGCTGAACAGCCGGCCTGATACATATTTAACACAGGAGGTTGGCAGCTCAGCACAAGAAATTCTGAAGGACCCTCTGCACTCTGGTATATACCCTTTCAAGCAGACTATGCAATAAATAGGGATATTTAGTTCACACATATTGCAATACATGCTTAAGCTGGCCAACTGCAGCTCAGCACAGACACCATTCAGAGAATGCTTTGCATTTTCCTAAATAATGCAAAGCATTCTATTATTGGATGAGGTGGAGAGGTAGGGCAGTGATATCACACTCTCCACCTTATCCAAAGCAGAGAAGGCTTTGCATTCATTCAGAAAATGTAACGCATTCTTGGAATGGCACCGGCTGAGCAGCCGACTCCTGAAGCAAGTGGAGATTACCGGAGTATTGGTATCTACTATAGTGCTTTCCAGCTTTCAGTGGCATGGGCCAAGTATGGTATATGTATAGATACATTGGTTCAAGCTGGACCAATGGTACTATGTAAAAGTATGCCATACCTGGTGTGACAGATCCAACTGGACCGGGGCTTTTGGAGGGGACTAGGGGCTAGCCTTCTACCCCCATTATAGCCCATGCAGAGAGCTTCTCCAACCCAGTCCACAGGTGGGCCACCATATTTCTCTGACCATTAAAATGTAGAAGATTAATATTACTCCCTTCCATTCACTCCAGAAGGGAAGCTGTATCGTCTTTACTCAGAGAATTAACTCAAGCCTTGCTGTCAGCGTTCATCATGTTGTTGTCTATCATTGGAGAATGATCTTCTCTCTCCATAGGCCATAATCAGTGGGTAGAAGGCTAGCCCCTAGACCAGCAATGAGCAAACTACGGCCCGCGGGCCGTACACGGCCCGCGGACCTTTTAATCTGGCCCATGGAGCTAGGCTCCCGCTAGGCTCCCGCTAGGCTCCTCTCACAGTCCGCCCTGAAGACCGGTGTAGTGTGAAAATCTGTCTCCTATGAGGATCTGTCCCCCTCGACGTATCTGCGCATGTGCCGGAGATCGCGCCGATCGGCTGCTAATGCCTGAAACTGGCACATGCGCAGATACGTCGAGGGGGACAGATCCTCATAGGAGACAGATTTTCATGCTACACCGGAACGGCGCGGGAACACGGCGAGAGGAACGCGCGGAGCAAAGGTAAGTGAATTGACACAGGGGGGACTTGGGGACTTAATATGGGGGATGAATTAATATGGGGGATGAATTACTATAGGGGGGGTGAATTACTATATGGGGGATGAATTACTATATGGGGGATGAATTACTATGTGGGATGAATTACTATATGGGGGATGAATTACTATGGGGGATGAATTACTATATGGGGATGAATTACTATGGGGGATGAATTACTATATGGGGGATGAATTACTATATGGGGGATGAATTACTATATGGGGGATGAATTACTATGGGGGATGAATTACTATATGGGGGATTAATTACTATGCTTACTATGGGGGAATATTACTATACTTACTATGGATGACACATACACATCATTCATCTACTCTTGGTCCGGCCCCCGGGTCCAATATATGAACCCATTGCGGCCCTCAAGTCAAAAAGTTTGCCCACCCCTGCCCTAGACCCTTCCCAAAGCTCCTGTCCTGGTTGGGTCTATCACACCTGGAATAATTCTTTAACCAAACATTTTCCAGATCATATTTGCCACTTGTTACTGGTAAAGTGTAAAAGTTCCTAAAGCTATCAAATAGGAGAAGACTAAACGAGGGAAAAACTTGGTTGACGTGGCTAATTCCCACATAAAGAAATGTTCCCTATTACCTCTAGTAAATATAAACAAACTAAAATATACTAATGACCCCAACTTGCTTTTCAAATGAACGTAAGAAAAAGAGGCCTCATAGGATTACCTCTTACTCTTCTCTCTCTGTAGCAGACATAATGGAAAAGCTTCATTTCTTTAATGGGATATAAAAGTATTTCAGGAATCAGGGGCCAGCTAAAGAGTTATTGTTCCAAGCCCCACTCAACCGGCCACTTCTCTCCTCCTTTTCTGTAGCATCTAATGGCATCTCCTGAATGTTTTGTGCTGATTTAATTAATAAGCCTGACTGAGTAATGCCTTGTGACGCCTAATCCGAACCCGATGACTATAGAAGCTTTGGGCTGGCATCCCGTGGACACATCTAGGCTACAGCTCATCCATCTCTGCTAAATTCTCCTATTTATCTGCTTTTTTCAAGTTTAACCTAACCTAACACTGACTATCTTTGACGATTTCATCGGCATTGTTCAACGGTAAGTTAGTCTGATCTATCTTCATTGCTTCAGAAAGTCAGCCTGTGAGACTTCGCTAAGTCTGGTGTGTGCGGTTGTGGTTTGCCATGTGGTTATCATGTTCCTATGTCCTTGTGATCTAATACTGATATATGGCAGCACAGGAAACAGATGCTTTTCTGTTTAAACATACAGTATTTTTATCTACTCGAGCTATACACTGTACCATATGTTCCTTTAAATCTGGTAGACAATTTCTGTTCTGCTTGGGTCTGACAATACTGCTTTTATATTATGTATCAATATTCCTTGTTAAATTGTAATACATAATGGCACAAAGCTGCTTTTTTAATAATAATTATTTTAAAAAATTATTATTTTCTTCCTCTATCACCCTTTGCACCCTCTGTCTTTCACCCTACAGTTCTCTATCCTGAAAAATAGGAAGTGGAATTCTTCTATTGCTCAAATTACTTCTTCCCTAATTATCATTCTAAAGCCTGTATAGCAGTTTTTCTCAAACTTTTTTAACACAGAGGAACCCTTGAAATAATTTTCATGTCTAAGAGAACCCCTACCAATTGTTATTTTATCTGCAGCTCAGAATACATTAGCTTGGTGGTCAGTAGAAGAATGGTTCTTACATTGATGGTTATTGGGAAGAATGGTCCCTGCATTGGTGGTCAGTGGGGAAAATGGTTCTTAGTTTGGTGGACAATGGAAGATTGGTTCTTGCATTGGTGGTCAGCAGGATGAATGCTGCCCTTACAGATAACTAGAAAAATCATTGGTGTCCGTCGTTACTTATCTAAGAGAAAGAAGCTGTGCATTGATCAAGGTCATTGGGAAGAATGATTCTTACACAGGTATTCATTGGGAAGAATGTCCTTTACATTGGTGGTTAGTGGGAAGAATGGTTCTTACAGTGGTGTTCAGTGGGAAGAATATCCCTTACACTGGTGGTCAGGGTTAAAAATGCACTTTGCATCAGTTGCCAGAGGAAAAGAATGGTTCTTACATGTGTGGTCATTGGGAAAGATGGTTCTTATGTTGGTGGTCAGTGGGAAAATGCTGCCTTTACAGATAGCTAAAAAAAATAATTGGTGTCCGTAATGCATTGATCAAGGTCATTGGGAAGAATGATTCTTACACTGTTATTCATTGGGAAGAATGTCCTTTATATTGGTGGTCAGTGGGAAGAAAGCTCCTTACATAGGTGGCCAGTGGGAAGAATGTCCCTTACATTGGTGTTCCCTGGGAAGAATGTTCCTCACATGGGTGATCAGTTGGAATAATGGTTTTTACATTGCTGTTCAGTGGGAAGAATGTCCCTTTTACTGGTGGTCAGTGGAAAAAATGCTGTTTACATTGGTGGCCAATGGCAAAAAGGGTTCTTATTTGGGTGGTCATTGAAAAGAATAGTTTGTACATTGGTGGTCAGTGGGAAAATGGTTCTTACATTGGTGGTCAGTGGGAAGAATGCTGCCCTTGCAAATAACTAAAAAGGCCATTGGTGTAAGTAGTTACCTATCTAAGTGAAAGAAACTGCCTATCTCTTCAGGGAAGCCTATCCCGCCCTCTGCTAATACTGGAATCCTCTACTCTTCCAACCACTCCATCCCTCACAGTTTTACCTATTGTACCACTCACTCCTCCCTCCTAGATTGTAAGCTCCAAGGAGCAGGGCCCTCAATTCCCTATTGTATTGAACTGTATTGTTACTGTACTGTCTCCCGCTATCATGTAAAGCGCTGAGCAAACCGTTGGCGCTATATAAATCCTGTATAATAGTAATAATAATAATCAAGGAACCCTTAGCAACCTCCAGAGGAACCCTAGTTAAGAAAGGCAACTATATAGATTCAAAGTTCTATTTATGAGGATTTTAAATGTACTCAAGAGGCAGATTATAACCCAAATGACAGTGTAGCCCCTATTTTAATTTGTCACTAAAAAGCAATAGTACATTCCATAACATCTACAAATTGAAAGATGACATGTTTATCAAACGAATTTCCCAGTTGATTGCTGCTTCCTTAGGAATGGGTCATATAATACTACTTATTTACAAGTTCTGTTGGTTGATCTGTAATACATACATATGATAAGACATATAGGGGGTGATTTTTAAAAGGCACTTTGACAGGTCATTTTCACCAGAGCTTAGTGAATGAAGTGAAATTCTGCAGTCTTTCATCATCCAATCATTTGCAAGCAAGAATACCATTTTTTTTTGTATTTCGGTACATGGGATTGGGTATTCTTTGCAAAGTGAAATTTCACTAGATTCAAGCTGCCTTGAAAACTGAACAGCCAACCCAAAAACAAGACTGTGATCTATTGTGGGTCACTGTTGGAGAGCAGCATTGTTAGCCTGGGGAGAGGGGAGTGTTAAGTAGCCCAAAGATGAGTCTTTTTTTTTTTTTTTCATTCAACCAGCACGTTGAACGAAAAAAAAAAATGGACCTAATTTCCTTGTCCACACATTCAAGGTGGATGGGGGAATCCTCTCTGCTGAGATATTGTGTTATGATAGCGGGGAGACTTCCCTGCCACCAGAATACATTGATCAGCATTGCAGGCTATAGCCTGCTGCCTGTGGTAGATTGACTTCTGTACAACCACAATGGCCATACATGGGTCAAAAATCACCCGGTCCCTACTTAACCGGACAAATTTTAATTCATGTATGGCCAGGTTTAGATCCACTAGCTAGATTTAGATGGACTTGAATAACCAAATGCAGCCAATGTCCAGCTAACACTTTTGAAGCCATTACAGCAACAGTCTTTTTTCTTTTTGTTATAACATTTTTATATAAATAAATGCTGGTCATCATAAGTACCCCTGTCAAGGGTAAATGGTTTGTCTCAACACTCTAAATGCCACTTTTGTTGGCCTGTTTGGTCTACTAAAAGAAGTTGAAAAATAAAATACTGGCAAGGCCACCAGTTGAAAATAACTAAAAAAAAACTACTGCAGCCACCACCTTTAAATTGGTATTTAATCCAAAAGCAAACATTTATTATATTGCAGTTTACCAATTCTTATGTGTGATGGCTGAATTAGTTTTTTTTTAGGTCTTTCTTACCTTTATTTTCACTTGGTGATGCTGCCAGGAAGTCTGTTGTTTTTCAACAGAACAAGCTCTCCAATACATATAGCAATTAGGGTGCTGAGACAAACCATTTACCACTAACCAGGGGGCTTACAATGATCAGCATTTAGTTATATTCATCTATTGTTACAGGTATTTATATACCACCATCAATTTATGCAGTGCTTTACATATATATTGTACATTCACATCAGTCCCTAACCCTCAAGGGGTGTACAATCTAAGGTCCCTAACTTACATTCATACACATACTAGGGACAATTTAGACAGGAGCCAATTAACCTCCCAGCATGTCTTTGGAGTGTGGCAGGAAACCGGAGTTCCCGGAGGAAACCCACGCAGGCACAGGGAAAACATGCAAACTCCAGGCAGGTGGTGCCATGATTGGGATTTGAACCAAAGACCCTTTTACTGCCAGGAAGAAGTGCTAACCATTTAGCCACTGTGCTGCCCTGATCTAAAACCTTAATCCAAAAGAAATAAAAAAAACTATTGATGTAACTGCTTGCTTAATGGCAGTGTGAGCTGAAGTTTGGTTTCAGTTTGTTAGTGTATATAAATCTGCTAGTACATCTAACACTCCCATCCCCCCCCCCCAGACTGGCAATGCTGCTGTCCCAAATGTGCCCCCTGTGTTCCTTCATCCAGAGCTCAAGCACTCTAATACAGGAGGTGTGTTACTGGTCAGTCACCAGGTGAAAACAGAGGAGGAAAGCATAAAAAAAGAAAACTAATGCAGCCACCACATCTGATAATTGGTAAGCTGAAATATATTACATTTTTGGTTTAGGGTTCAATACCACTACAGTCACCAAATAAATATAACTTATAGACTCCATCCAAATATAGTTTTCTCTTTACATGGAATGTAAATTCCATATCTCATTATGGGTTTTGTCTACCAAAGTGCAATTCTGATGCATCTGTTTTGGGGTTTAAAGATAGTCTGTTATAAAGGTGAAACTGTGAGGCAGCACAGTGACTAAATGGCTAGCACTTCCGCCTGACAGTACTAGGGTTGTTGGTCCAAATCCTAACCACAGCACCACCTGCCTGGAGTTTGCATGTTCTCCCTGTGCCTGCATGGGTTTCCTCCGGGTACTCTGGTTTCCTCCCACACTCAAAAGACATGCTGGTAGGTTAATTGGCTCCTGTCTAAATTGTCCCTAGTATGTGTATGTATGAATGTGAGTTAGGGACCTTAGATTGTACACCCCTTGAGGGTTAGGGACTGATGTGAATGTACCAGGGGCGGACTGACCATTTGGAAACTCAGGCACTGCCCGAGGGCCCGGGGTCAGTAGGGGGCCCCATGAGATGCCCCTGGTACCTTTTTCATAGGCTTTTTTGAGTTTGGGCAAGGACACAGGGGCCCCATGATCCCCTATTGCCCGGGGGCCCCATGAGTTGTCAGTCCGCCCCTGGAACGTACAATATATATGTAAAGTGCTGCATACCTGTATGAAATAAAACAATAGATTTTACCAGATTTATAATGATCAGCAATCCCAGTAACACATATTCTAGAAAAATTTGAATGACATTATTTAATATGTATTTATTAAATGTATTATTCTCTAGCTTCACTGGGTGTTAAATTCACTGCTAAACACAATACAGTACATTGAAAAAAAAATTATTAAAAAAGATCTGATTTAAAAAAAAAGATTTTTTCCACAATGTCATTTTTTTATTTTTACAATATATTTGTTTTCCTTCCATTATTCCTCTTAACAGAATGTGTATTATTTATTTTACAAGGTTCTTTGAACATTGCGTACTCTACTTAATTTTAACAAGTGGGCACGTACAGTTAAAAAGTAACCTTGGTGCCAAAATGTCCTTTTTATTCATGTGTTGAACAATGCTTGGTACATTCTGCAGAATACATTGGCATTTCCTAAATAACATGGGATTATACAAAACAGTAAAGAACATTTTTGGGGCTTAACCTATAACCTGTTAAAACCTACAAACAGCCTTCATCAGAAAACATCAGAAACTCCCCACCGGTTGAGTAGGAAGATGGCAAACTACGAAGGACACAGGGGTTGGTTATGGAAACTTTTTCAAGGAGCAGCAAAACTTACAAATGCTGCCAGTCATAGCAAGCAATACATTTCATTTTCCCAGTGCAGTCAGACTGCTATTGCTCCAGTTTCCATAAATTATTATTATTATTATTATTATTATACAGGATTTATATATTATTATTATTATTATTATTATTATATTATACAGGATTTATATATTATTATTATTATACAGGATTTATATATTATTATTATTATACAGGATTTATATATTTTTATTATTATTATTATTATACAGGATTTATATATTATTATTATTATTATATACAGGATTTATATATTATTATTATTATACAGGATTTATATATTATTATTATTATTATACAGGATTTATATAGCACCAACAGTTTGCTCAGCGCTTTACAATATAACGGGAGACAATACAGCAACAATACAGTTCAATACAAGAGGGTTAGGAGGGCCCTGATCCTTGGAGCTTACAATCTAGGAGGGAGGGGCTGGTGGTACAAAAGGTAGTAACTGTGGGGGATGGACTGGTTGGAAGAGTAGAAGATTCCATTATTAGCTGAGGGCAGGATAGGCTTCCCTGATGAGAGAGAGGTTTTCAGAGATCGCCTAAAAGTGAGCGGAGTAGGCGATAGTCTGATAAATTGAGGTAGAGAGTTCCAGAGGATGGGGGAAGCTCTGGAGACGTCCTGGAGACGAGCATAAATCAGCACCAAACTAAGAAGTCAAGGATTGTAACAACCCTACAACTTTTTAGATTGGGGAGTTATTAGAAAATGGCCCAATCAGTCATGTTTAAAAAAAAAAAAAATCTCCAATTTTCTCTTTTGTCATTTTATTTATTGTAGGAGCTTATGTACCGCAGTCAATCAATGCAACATTTTACATACAGTATAAATCGTACATTCACATCAGTCCCTGCCCCCAAGGAGCTTACAATCTAAGGTCCATAAGTTAAATTCATACATACACATACTAGGGCCAGCTTAGACAGGAGCCAATTAACCACCTCAAGTCCGGACACTTTTACTCCCTTCCTGTCCAGGCCAAGTAATTTTAAGCTTTCAGAGTTGTCACACTTTGAATGACAATTGCGCAATGATGCAACACTGTACCCATATGAATTTTTTAGCACTTTTTTGGGACATATAACACTTTATTTTGGTGGTATTTATTCACCACTGGGATTTTTTTTTTGTTTGCTATATAAATGAAAAAGTGCAAAAATGTTGAAAAAAAACGTGTTTTTCTTAATACAATTTTGCAAATAAATAATCTTTCTTTATAAATCTTGGC